GTGTGTGTGTGTGTGTGTGTGTGTGTGTGTGTGTGTGTGTGTGTGTGTGTGTGTGTGTGTGTGTGTGTGTGTATATATTGTACCTTTTAAACATATGTGAAGCATACATGAATGGAATCAGATTTTGAGTCTGAAATTATAGTCTTAATTTCTTCAGAGCAGTTCTCATACACAGTTTCGAAGCTCCATCTTGAAACTGGAACTGGGCAGTACTTTTGATTATTTGATCCAAATTTAAGTCCTTGGAATTCTCCTTATGCCATTTATGTATCTGAAGTCTAACCAGGTTTTGAAAACAAATTGTGTTAAAATACAACCATGTTCATACTAATAGGTAAGGGGAGAAAGGTTCTTAAGTTGTAGTGTATCCTTTTCAGTTGCTTCAGGAGATTATTCATTTCTCATTATAGGGGAGCATATTGTACTGTAATTTACTTGGCAAGGGCTGCATGAAAAAGATAGCTGGAACCCCTGAAAAAGTGGGGGTGGCCAAAGTAAGAATCTCATAATCTGCATTCAAATCAAGCTGTTCATTCTCTTACATAACCAATGGCTTCCATTCCATGAAGATATAATTAGCCTGGGCAGAGGTGAAGAAAACTTTCCATTAAGTACGAGAATCTCTCTCTGGCCTTCACTGTCACACACACAAACATCTTAGAGGCTGAAAGCCAGAAGCTGGGAACAAAACTAAGCTATAACCCTTATCAATGAAATATTAGTTTTTATGTGCAGACACCTGGTGAACTCCCTTTTGCAGTCTGAAGCAATTAAATTAACTTTTTATTTGACACCTTCTCCTGAACATTTTCACACAACGAGTCTATGGGGAATGTTCCAGATATTGTTAAGCTTTGAACGTATCTGCACTTACTGTTTAAGCTGCTCCTGTTCTTTGCTCCTATCTAAATCAGCCTAGGCCAAACACATCTGGACTGACATAATTTGGCCATTGTTCACAAGGAAGATTAGACCACAGACTATTGTGACCTTAAACTGGGCATTTCCTTGTTGTTGTGTGCCCCTACCATTTCACTGAAGGAAAGCAATTGCCAATCACTCCATCTTTCTGTGCATTTTCATGTCTGTACGTAGATAAATACATACATACCATGTTTCCCTGAAAATAAGACATGGTCTTATTTTTTTTTGACCCCCAAAATAAGCACTTGGCCTTATTTTCAGGGAGGTCTTGTTATTTTTGAGGTGTAGGAGGCGGTGAGCACGGTCACCTCATGACTGCTGCTGTGTTGCAAAGTTTTCAGGGAGGGCTTATTTTTGGGGGAGGGCTTATTTTAGCGCATGCACTTATTATCTGGGGAGGGCTTATTTTCAGGGAAACAGGGTACAAGTTGAACTACACAGCGTTGTTTAAAATTTCAGCCAACGTAATGGTATCGGGCTATTGAGAGTTGATCTTTAAGAGATTCCAAAAAATTGTCAAAAAGACCTAGTGTCAAAAATCGTGCAACTAAGCCAATTATATTAGAGAGCAAGGATCATAGCAAGACCAGTCTGAGAAGATTAATCCAGAGATTTAAAGGAATACCTTGGAGCATTTACAGATTTCATTTCAAAACCATTCCTAAGGAGGTTAGGAAGATCAAAACAATCGAGGGGGACAGGAAGTTAGGACTCTCAGCCCTGGGGGGAGCATAAGGCTCTTAAAGAGCATTATTCTTGTCACAAGGTCAAGCTTTTACAATGCAATTAAAAGGGATTTTCTTAACATCAACATACCACATCAAAGGAGGTTGTGATGAGGCGATTATCGCCCCGTGGAGAGCAAAGGTTTAACAAGAAATCAAACAGATCTAATCATTTTATTAAGCTCCACTTCTAAAGTTCCCCAACACCACCAAACCTCTAAGAAATGATGATGAAAGGGGACAGATCATATCTGCTGTGATTTCTCCCTGGCAATTAACCTTTAAAACATAACTATTACACTATCGATCTTTGTTTATTGAATCTAAGAGGACTTCCACACAGAATAGAATAATAGACTTGGAAGAGACCTTGGAGATCTTCTAGTCCAACCCCCTGCTTA